AGGAAGGAAGGAAGGAAGGAAGGAAGGAAGGAAGGAAGGAAGGAAGGAAGGAAGGAAGGAAAGAAGGAAGGATGGAAGGGAAGGAAGGGAAGGAAGGACGGAAAGAAGGAAGAAGGGAAGGAAGGAGGGAAGGAAGGAAGAGAAAGAAGGAAATCACAGAGGTGAAAATTGCCTGGATATACTTTTTTTTACTACTAATAATAGTATATTGTTAAATATGTTAAATTTAGCAAATATGCCTTACCTCGTTGAGATTGGAAATGACATTCTCAGTTTCCTAACGAAATGATGAAAACACAGATTTATAGTTATGACACATTCTTATTTGAATAATTCTAATCAACAACATGCCATATTACTAAGTTACTGCTCTAGACTGGTTTTACTAACTTTACTAGGACATTACTCAGAATGTTGCTACCAATGGAAATAAACACAACTGAAAATTACCATAACTACCCTACTTATCCAACATTTTATATTAATAACTGGAAATTTAACTCTTCAAGTCAAAGCTTTGACTTCAACATCTTCTGATCTACTGTCCTCTCGTTAGGTTAGCAAGAGGAAAAGAAGGAAAACTACTTGTATTATCAGAGCCAGGGTGATCCACATCCAAGTGACTTCTACACAGAATATAAAGCACATACATCATTCAGTTGGAAGAGATCATTTAATAGCCTCAAGTTCTATTTTAAAAAATCTGAGGATGATGAAGAAAGAAACTAAATGTAAAGATGAAGACTCAAGCTGGGGGACCCCACACATGGCCAGATAGGATTGTTTGTCCAGAAATAATTCTTTAAATTAATCTTTGGCCAGCAATTCCTTTCTCCTTTTTAGGGATGATAACCGCATTGTAAAATATAGTGTCACACACATTGATATCAGGCAAGGAGGTCTTATGTTGTAATTTCATATAGTTTTACAGGTTTTCACAAATGTCCCCCAAGGTACAGAAGCTCGAAGTGAAAATGAAACCCTTTACCTCACTTGATGAGCTGGTGCTGGAGACTGCCTGCTAAGAGGAAGAAAATGAGTGTTATGACCTCCTGCAAAGTTTCAAAATTTGAAGAAAACAGTCCCATGGCACTGAAAGGGTCATTTTGGTGTTGAAACGAACTATGTGAAAAGATTTGTGGCTACAGTAATATACTTTCTCATTGATTTTACTTGAAAATTATGTGCAGGAAAGTCTAACAACGTGGGAAGAAAGTTTAAAAAAAGCCCTTAAATAGTGCCTTTTATCTATTATAACAAAAACAACTGTGCCCTTGTATTAATGCAAAATTTATGAAAACTCCCGATAAAATAAAAAGATAATGGAATAGCTATTCAGCAAGTTTATCAAAGACCCAAGGGGCAGTGTTAATTCTCACATACTTTGGGACTAGTTAATGTGAATAAACTGAAAATAACACTTTCACTATGGTGATAAAAATTAGATTAGGTATCAAATCATATACCCTTTGAAATATTTACTCTCTCTTCCAATTCACACAAATATATCCCTTTGTAGTTTCATCTCCAGTAATACATTTTTTAAGGATTGGTTTTACTATTCCACTGATTCATTGTATCTGGAGCTAGTTAATTGACTATATATGTAATTGACCAATGCAGTTTCATCCCACGTTTTACATTGGGCAGCACAGAGCATCGATCATAGGTTGTTGCAATGTGGGTTCATCTGTTTTAGAAATGTACCCAGGATTAGAAAAGGAAGTTCTTAGTTCCAAATGTCAGCAAAGGGTTCTACTGCAACATCTAACTTCGATGCACATTTCTCTTTTTAGTTTTTATTCTAATCAACAAGCAAACTTTTTTATTTTACTATTATTTAAATGACTTAAATTTCTATTCCCAGTTTTAACTGAAACATATTTGCATACTTTATTCTTAAAATTGAGCACAATTCTGAGAAGTTCAAGAAAGAAAATACTTTGAGATTCATTTTCCCAGTGAGCTCAGCATAAATTAGGATTTGAAAATGAAGCAGAGTGCACACACACGTGTGCTGCACAATTGCTTGGTTTTTACAAAACAGCAACTCACCTGAACACTTGTCATTGCTTGTTCCTAAGGAAAAGAAATGAGAAGATAAATTTTTCTTATTTTTCATGACAAACACTCAGATATAAAACTAATCACTACCAACTCAAATAGATGCTAGAAGAAAATACAAATTTGGAGAATATCTAGGAATTGAGGAAAACAAACAGAACATGTCAAACTGAAGCATTCTCTTTTCTAATTTGCATTTCCAAGATTGATTGAAATCTTTGAGCGAGTTCTTTCACCTCAGGAGTGACTGCCAACATGTTAATATGTCTGTGACAGTACAACTTTTTGTTTTCTTTTATCTTAGTTTCCGGACACTGAACATAAACACTGTATGAAAAGCTGCCAGAGTAGAGTTGCTCAAGTGTGCACAGATATTTAAGAAATAATTCCTTTTTGCTGAATATCCTGCACCCATGTTTGGCATCACAGTAGTAGAAAGATAACACCCTAGGGCTGAAGTTCAAAATATCAGCGTTAGTGTATCATCTCCTTAATTTCAGCAAACACATAACCGTGTCTTCTTTCTAGCAATTAGAGATATTTGTCACTGAATGCTCAGAATTATTCTCTCATTTATGTACGATAACTACAGAGAATGCTTATTATGTGTTGCCCCCTCCCCAAACCCAGTGAAGTATTTTTAAAACAAAGGGCATTACCTCGGTTGATTCATTCATAGTTTGCTGTAAGAAAAGATTTCAGTCATTAAATAGTTTGCAAAAGATGTTCATCATTGCTTCTATGAATTTTGAGAACTATATACTCTTTTTATTATTGATTTTAAAAAAGTATTAATCAATCAAGTTCAAAAAAGACCCTTGGGTCTTTGATTAGTGGAAGAACACTGGTGTGAAGTAAAACGTTTTGGGGCCACTTGCAATGCTTTTTAATCATCCCTGACAATGCATTTCTTCAGCCTTCATAGTCTATGCAAACCATGGACCAGACTGTAATTGCATTTAGTTGTTTAATCATTGAGGTATATGTACATAATCATACTTCATCACAATTGTTCATGGAAGTCCATTCAATTAGAAGGCCTTTTAATTATCACTAGAATCCACTAGTTATTTCAAATGGGTAAATGAGGGGTCAAGTAAAGGATAATGGTATAGGCAGTCCAAATAAAAGTGTCTTTGTGTTGTGTGGAGGTGTGCATCTGTCATATTACTTTATGGAAAGCATTAGTACCTTGATTTCATCACTCTGTTCTCCTGCCAGAACAGCTCTCTGCTGGAAAACCAAAATATAACTTGTGTAACACATATTTAAACCACAGAATTTAATAACAGTTTAAATTTCTTAGAATGTTTCTTACTTTGTTCAGGTCATTGAAGAATTTCTTATGGTTATAAAAGAAATAAAAACAGTATTAGTTATAAAGGACATAAATAATGTGAATCAGTAATCAAACTGACATAATCCCTTACTGTTGTGAATTTAAAATTAAATCTATTTTCCATTAATGTCCAATTGCTTCTTGTTACATCAATTCTAAACTTGTGTTTCTTTGCTGTGTTATTTTTGTATACTCTGTTAGCAAATGTGTTCTTAAAATACTTTCAAATTTGTTTTACCTGATTTTTGTTGTATTTGTCAAACAGTTCAGTTAATGACCAGTTCTATGATCAATTAATTTTAATACTTGAGTAGCTTTTTAAAAACTCTATACCTCATGGAGACATTCTGTCTTAAGTGTGCTAATTAGTCTTAAAACAAAGTTATGCTGTCTTTGTTCAGCTCATGTTTAGGATGTCAGGTTAGTAAGACCTTTTGGTTCAGCTTCTGATGATAGACTTGCTAAAGTGGACAGTGGAAAGTCCAGGGGTCTTCAACACAAAGAACTCCAGATAATTACGGCATGCTGAGAGCATGAGAAATAGTCATCCCTAAGGAAGAGGATACCAATTGGTTATCCAATACCAAATGGTCAATCTTGAACACATAATATAATATATGCAGATTGAATATAGTGTATTTATGTATTTGGTAAAGTGTGTGTGTGTGTGTGTATATATATATATATATATATCAATTCATGAAGAAAGAAAGAAAAGCAGGGACAGCTATTTGGGAAGGTTTGAAGAGAGGAAAAATAAGGGGGAAATGATATATTAGAATATCAAAAATAAGAGAAAGAATTAAAATATTTATGTTAAAATTCATTCAGACAAAATTGGGTTAGCCATCAAATCTTTTAAATAAATAATTGTCTTCCATTACAATTTGGTATGCTGTATTCAACAAACAACTTTGTCAAGAACTGTAGCAGAGAGTACTTTACGTTGTGAGCATGGACTCTTGAGTTGCTAAATAGATCATTGAAAGAAAAGACAGGTGTTCAGTCAGAGCAAAATTTTAGATAGAAATTAAAATTAAAATCTACTTTTTAATGAATTAAAAGGACTATCAACTCAAGTGAAGACACTTTTGCAAGCATACTGTACTTTATCTATTTATTGAGAGCAAAGTATAGTGAGTGATACACGCACCGAAATGTCATAATTTCCTCCTCTACTTGCATGTTAGCCTAAAAAGACTGAGTTTTCCTCTAAAATTGCATTTGTGTGTTAAGAACTGGTAACACTTACCTCATTGAACTTGAGATACATTGGCAGTTTAACAGACTCCTGTTGTTCCTGTTGAAATTAAATTTTGAATTATAAAATAAGTTGATTCCTAAGAATACACAGGAGTTGAAACATATTATTTCATTTATATGTGGAGATGAATGTAAATGCATAAATATTAACTTCTTGCGACAGGAGCCCAAGTGTTTAATTCTATCTTAGTTGGAAGATAAATCTGTGGTTTTAGTTTTATGCATTAAACCAAAAATCTAAAAGAGACACTGTACCTGGCTCCTTTTTTCCCAAGCCTGATCTGTTAAGCATGTTTTCCAAATTGTCAAGCAAAGACTTTACATATGCACTGAATCAAAACAGGATTGAGATGACAGTCCTGGTATCTGAACACTTGGATACTTTTGAAGATATATAAAAATCAGTGCGTAGAAGGCATTCCACATTCGTCATAACTAACTGAAGGGACCGGCAGAACATGAACTCAGCTCCCTACACAGGTAACTTACCTCAGAGCTGTACTGCTGTTGATTCTGCAGAGAATAAGTGATACATGGCATTAGTTCATACACTGGAAAGAGTGGAGGATTGATTCCTATTGTAGTGAGTGTGGTATAGTTAATTAATTCATGATTCATTACGTAAAATTAGAACAAATAAAAAGCCACAAGAATTAAAAGGAAAAGGAAAAGCCAGAATATATTAAAATATTAACATATTCCGTTTTGCTAACTATTTCCTGTGAACAAAGTGATACTTCGTGTGTGTGTGTGTGTGTGTGTGTGTGTGTGTGTGTGTGTGTGTAAGTGGTCATGTTATGCCAAGGTACATATATGGAGGCCAAAGAACAACCTTAAAGGTTGAAAGTTGGTATTTCCCTTCCAGTTTGAGTTTTCAGGGACTGACTTAGACATCAGACTTGCACACACGACCATTTACCCACTAAGACATTTCACTGACCCCATGTGCATTTTTACAGAAAGTTTTGTATGAATAACTATTCTTGCATCTGTTAACATTTTTGTGGATGAGATACTCTCCAGTAAGCTAAAAGGGGCTATTTCTTAGAAAAAGAAAGACAGAATTTGGGTCTTTTTGCTGGCAGTGCATCATCAATTAAGTCCCTGATTAGAGAAAGTTCTGGAAGGGCAGAGTACAGTACTTACTTGAATGTTTACTGCATTTCTGTGATGAAGTTTCTGAAAAGTAACAGAAAATTGAATAACATAAACAAGGCTAAAATCAATCAAAATAACAATAATAAATCACATATAATACCATTTACTTGAGATTGCTATTTAAGAAAAATCTTTAACAATAATATTAAAAATTGTCAGAAACTGTTGCTCTGGGAATAAAAGAAATAATTATTTTATTGGCAAATATCAAAGAAAAACAGTTTCTGTTTACTTTCGATTGTGACAAAAAATTAAGAAAACCATATAAGATGCCTGAAAAGTAAAACTTTTCAGTTAGTTTGAACTGCTTCAAAATGATCATTTATTTCTCTGGACAGTTTATATTTCATGATAATTTTAAAAACAATTTTAAAACATACAAATTGGTAGGGAAGCTATAATATCCTAACTACATGCTAATTTTTGTCATTATTGCATTTTATCATCATTTATATTACATAATTATTTAAATCTGCATTTTGATTGTTAAGATAACAATTAAATTTAGTTAAATGGGTTACCATATACAAGCAGATACCACACTGTTTTCTTTGGTATATGAATTTTATATTTCTTGGGAAGTCAAGTGGATACAAGGCACCTAAAATGAATATCTAACTCTGTAGAATACTATGGAATATAAGGCTCTCTGTTATACACGATAAAGAAATATCATATGCCTTGGCATACTGAGAAGGACACTTACTCTATGGTGTACTAGGAAAATAAGCCCTGCTATATCCTATTATGTTTTTTATAGTATTATGCAATATTTTATTTTTTCTCACTTTTATTTGTGATTTTCATTGTGGGTTTATTTAATTTCTAAAGGAGAAGTGACTTGGAGTTATGGATTTGGAAGGATTTCTAATTCTGACTGCAGTTGTTAGGTAGAGATCATCAAATGCTTAGTGTTATTACTGTAGCAACTCAGGTATGAACAGCTGGTGGATCATTTCTAATAAGAGGATAGAGCTTTTTATCCACTGTACTCACAGGCATAGCAAGAGCAGCAGCCATGAGGCAGGTGAGGATGAGGAGCTTCATGGTTGTTGAGTCCTATTTACGAAAAAGAGTGAGAAGATGTTAGGTCTTATCTTCATACATCTTTCCTTGACCATTCAACAAAAGAGTAATTATGATGATAAAGATAAATTCTTTTGAGAAGTAGCAGTTTTAAACATAAGATACTTGGTTATGTAAATAAAATAAGTGTTTACCATTTCTGTTATCTTAGTTCTTCTAACTTTGAATTTTCATTTATTTATTCTCTCTCTCAAATCCTGCCACTCTGAAGCTTTATTGTCACTGCATGCATGTATATAGATCAGATAACAATTTGTGAGTTCAAAATTCAAAGCCCGTTCTTTTCTTCTACCATTGGAGCTTTGGGGTTGAACTCAAATGCCAGGCTCCATGGCAAGTGTTTAGATATGTTGAACCATCTTGTCTGTTCTTTCTTAGTTCTTATATTATACTACTTTCCCATCAATTGTATTTAATGTTTAAAAAATAATTTGGCATTCAATATGATATTCTTTATTATCTTTATTTTCAGAGGAAAAAAATCAGTCCTTAAAATAATTACAAACAACAATTCTCCTTAAATAATCACCTTTGCAAGGTGTACAAAATAAATAAACCCCAATGGAAATTTTCATTTGAAATTCAATGAAAAAAAGGATTTTATTTTTAATTTTTTGGGAAAATTCTCTTGACTTATATTATTGACCTCCTACAATTAAATTAAAAATGATTATTTCTCACATCATGACTTTCCTCACCAACCTATCCACATCTCTGTATGACAATGACTCAACTGGATGTCATTAGTTTCCTATATATTTGTGTTCATTTCTAGAATTCCAGGAAATTGCACAGAATTAGAGATAGTTATATTTACTTAAATTGAAAAAAATCAATGAAAAAAACTTAATGTAAAAATAATAGCCAGGCAGTGGTGGTGCATGGCTTTAATCCCAGTAATTGGAAGGCAGAGACAGGTGGAACTCTGAATTCGAGGCCAGCCTGGTCTGTAGAATGAGTACCAGAGGAGCCAGGGCAGTACAAAGAAACCCTGTTTTGCAAAAGAAAAAAAAATCTAAACAAACAAAAAAAAAAACAAGGAAAAACAAAATCACTCTGTACATGTAATCTTTTTGTCTTAGTCAACAAACTAACACTGATAAAACAAGATCTAAAACAGCTCTAGGAAAGAAGAGACATTTTAAAATACTATCTAATTTATCATTTATCTTTTCATGGTTTTCTAAGGTTCTAAGTGCAAAAATCTGCACAAAAGAAGTTATTTATAAATCCATATCATTAGCTTAGTCACATATGTATTAGTCAAATGGCACAGATAAAAGATGTCCTGAGAGATCCTTTTAAAATGGTCTTTACTATCATATTCATAGAGATCAGAAAATACTTTGCATGAAAACTTCCACTGAACTAGATAAAATAATTAGAATTTTCTTTTCCTTAGAGAATATGAAAATTATGTATTAATTTAGTAATCAATATGTTTAGTTACAAAATTAACAAAGGTAAATTGATTTATACAGCTATAGTACTCTTTCTCCTTCATCACTCAGAAGATATTAAAATTTACAAGTGCAATTTTAATCTCTTGGCACATTGTAACAAAGTATCAATATTTTATAAATGCAGAAAACATTGCAAATAAATTGTAATTATTGAATCATAGCAGCTTTTTGTGTAGTAACACAATACCTTGAACCCAAGAGAGGGAAGAAGAGAGCTGGTGATGATCAAGATGATGGTTGTGACTGTGCTTCGCAGCTATTTAAACTCACTGCTAAGTGAAATGCTAATTTTGTGGTTTGGTTTCAGACAAAAGTTTCACATAAATTCTAAGAAGTTTTTCAAATAGGAAATTAATTTCTGCCCAGTTCTTTTCCTGGGAAATTCTGAGGAAAGGCTTTAACAAAGGAGTCATTCATTCAATGATGGCAAATTATATAGGAAATAAAATGGTGTTCTTCAGAATTAAAATACAAATTGTGTAGATTCACAGTTATTGCTGGAACATGGCTTTGTGTTGCTGGTACAGTTGAGAAGACCTCTCTACATACAGAACTCCATGAACTCTTTGGGAAAATTAATTCTTTAAATGAAATCTTAGGGGGAAAGTAGGGTCCTCAAAATTTTTTAAACTTTAAACACATATGACCATATTTAAAATGTCAGATGCCATCGACCTTTTAAAATGACATTTGTCCTCAGTTACTTTCTTTATAATTTAATTTATAGTATAGTAGCATAGCCTTATTGTATGTACTGAATGTGTGTGTGTGCGTATGTGTGTGTGTGTGTTTGGAAGAAACAACTGTCCTATAAATTTTGGCAGTTGATTAGCTTAGTAGTTTTTTTCCTGTGCTTTTATTTTTTAGCTATCTAGACATTTGACATTTCTTTTTAATTAAGATTAGACTTAAGAATTATAATCTAATTTTAAGTAAAAATAAGTGTAAGACGAGGAAAATAAAATTCCCTTTCTCTAACTCCATATCTAAAATTAACTTTAAGCATTAAATTACACAACTTTTTTATTTTTTACAAACTGAAGAAAAAATCATCATATAGAGACTATTTAAAATTATTACTGTGATGGTCCCTTTTAATTTTATCTTATTCTATTTTATTGTTTTACAAAGATTCATGTTACATGTTTTAAGTAAATTTAAAACTAAGACAATAGCCATAGTCTATTTATAGATATGTGACAGAGGCATTCTTCCCAAGTTAAAAGACATTCTAGGGTCTCCACACTTACGAATCAAAGGAGACTGTGAATTTGCTTATTAAATCGTTGTGACTGAGATGGCATCTTCCTCTCTCTTCCCATTATACTGTGTCACATCAGTTCAAACAAATCACTAGTGTCTCCTCTTTAACGTGATTTATCCAGGGGCATCCAGACTACCGTCACCTGGTGTCCTGTAATGTCTCCCTTTTTCTTTCCCAGATGTGTGCCTGCCATGCTTGATTTATTTTATTTCTAACTCCGACCTCACTATGTGAAAGTTTTCTGTTCTCATCTGTTTCATTACTATATTTCACTCATGAATTTATTCATAGAGATGAAAAAGAAACAAACAAATTATTGTTGCGAATAAAAGTTGTATGCAAATATCCCTTGCCTTACAGTATGTGGGAAATTAACAAATAATCTTTATAGATCGTAATTAGTCCAGAAGTAAAAAGTAGTCCAGGCCTTCTGACATCAATGATCTCTAAGAAAGGGAACGGTATTCCAGAGAAGGGTCTTCAAATGAATTCAATTTTAATGGGTCAACAAAGAAAAGGGGGCAACCAGATTTTTAGGTTAATTACCCTTCCTGTTAAGACTGTGATTCTCAACCTGTGGTTTGCAAAGTCTTTGACAAACCTCTAGCTCCAAAAATACTTGCATTGCATAACAGTAACAAAATTATAATTATGAAGCAGCAACAAAAATAATTTTATAGTTGGGAGTCACCTCAACATGAGGAACCATATTAAAGGGTAGAAGCTTTAGGAAGGTTGAGAATCACTGGACTAAGGATAGCCAATGCTTATCAGATTTCATCTTGTCTTGTGAGAGTTCATGAACCCAAATCCTACTTTCTTTATTTATAACTCCCAGAGAGAAGGATTAATTCCACCTTGTTTTATTTGGCATTGCAGAAATTTCATTAGAGCTGCTTTCTAATATAAAGCTATTCTTTATGATAATATGTCAAAATTGTTTGGTTGTTCAATGTTAAATTTGTGTAAGCCTGCAAGATTTTGATTGGTTTGTCTTGATTATTTTCTGTTTGCTTTTATTCATTAAATTGTTTAGATCTATCACTTAACAAAGTTCAAATCTGAAGTACATATTTAAGTCATATGTGATATGATACACTTTTTATCTTTGAGAATTTTGTTTATGCACACAGTGTATTCACTCAAGAATCAAAGATCTAGTATAGTCAAAAATTTTACAGAGTCATATACAAATTCAAATAAAAGATAATAAGGAGAAGTTACTTCAGTATTTAATCTCCAAATGTATATAGGCAGCATATGATGGAATGAGAAGGTCTGGTATTTGAAATGAACTTGAAAACAGTGAAAATAAAATAGAGACTTAGAAATGAAAGAAAAACTACAAGCAAGTATATGGAAACATGAAGACATAACTCTAAAATATCCAGATGAATGAAATAAGCCTTAGAAATGATAAACATATAATATTGTAAAAAGCAGATTAATTGTTGCAGACTATGAGAATCTACAGAGTGCAGGAAAGGAAAAGTTTCTCTCAACACTAAAGATTGGGAAAGATGTCATGGAAAAATGAATAGAAGGGTGTAAGCTAAGAAAGAGAGAAAGGGGGCGATTTTTTCATGAAGTCAGGATGTTGGGGTCATGGCAAAGGTTTGAAACTACTGCCAAGAACAAGAACACTAGTAGTTTGAAACTACTAGTGCCAAGAACAAGAACAATGAGCTCTGGAGTTGGAAAGGAAGACAAGAGAGCAAACAGGGAAGAATGCAGAGTGTAGAAGGACTTGACCTGGAACTTGGAAATTCTCCTTCTTCAGGAGGAAGGAGGAAGTCTGAAAGGTTTACATTCTCTATAGGCCGTCAGATGGGTTTTACCTTTCCTGACCTCAGACTTCAGTTCCTGTCAGAAGCCCTTATGATCACGGTTTTCTGCCCAAGTACCTTCTGGGCTTTCTTTTCCTCTGCCTAGATCTCTAAGAAGGATAGTGACATTGGACCTTTCCTTGATTCAGTGATTTGCTTGGCATGATTTTGGCCTCATTTCACCTGTTTCCAAGTAGTTGGCAGAGCAGACAAAGGTAATGGGTGGTAAGGTCACATCTGTTGATTCCCCAGTGTCTAATCCTATTTTTCAAAAGTTTTAAGCATTCATTGAGTTTTTCTAATGAGTAAGTCAGGTACTCAAGTATGATGTCATCACATCAAAAGCTTTTTTCATTATAATGATTTATCATTACAACACTAGTAAGAAAATATTATATAGATATTTCAGAAGAAAAATAA